GGATTCCCGCTGCATCTGCTCCCATCACTCCGGCGCTGGCGGCTTTCCGGGATGGGGGTGGCGGGAAATGTCTTCATCACCTCTCCCTATGCCTTGTGTCCCCCCCTCCCCAGCCTGCAACGTCACCATCCACAACCGCTGCAAGGACACGCTGCCCAACTGCACCAAGGTGAAGCAGAAGGTGAGCGCCGGGTGGGACAAGTGACACCGTGGTCCCATGGACACCATGGGGATATCGTGGGGACACGGGGACACGGTGCCACCCCCATGACGCCTCCGCTCCCCTCCCGCAGCAACAGAAAGCGGCGCTGCTGAAGAACAGCTCGGCGCTGCAGTCGGTCTCACTGCGCAATAAGAGTGAGTGGGGTGGGATGATGTGATAGGGTGAGACGGGATGTGATGGGATGACGGGATGAGCCAGGGGGTGGGGGTGGACAGGACACCCCCCTCTCAATGCTGCCCATCACTGTTACATCAGGAGAGGGCCTCGGTCCCCATCGCTTCATCCCCATCCCTCTTCCCCCATCTCTTCATCCCTATCCCTGCATCTCTGACCCATCCCTGTCCCTCTAACCCATCTTTATGTCCTGTCCCTGTGTCCCTTATGTCCATCCCTGTCCCTTTGTCCCCATCTCTTCCTCCCCATCCCTGTGTCCCCATCTCATCATCCCTATCCCTGCATCTCTGACCCATCCCTGTGTCCCCATCACTTAATTCCCCTCTCTTCATCCCTATCCCTTTCCTGTCTGCAGGGATGGGGATGCTGGGGGGGATGCAGTATCAGGGTGTCCCCCATAGGCAGCCTGGGGGGTGTTGGGGGCTCATGGCACTGATACCACCCCACCCCCGTGTGTTATCCCTCTTTTCACAGCCGCCATCCGGGAACGCCCCAACTCTGCCATTTACCCCTCGGAAAGCTTCCGGCAGACGTTCCGGGGCCGACCCTCCCTTTCCCTCTCCAAAAGCGTCTCCACCACCAACATCTCAGGGTAAGTGCTGGGAAAACCAGGATTGGGGGTCCCAGGGGTGTCCCCGGCTTCTCCCTGTCACATCCCACCCATCTAAAGGACGTTCAACGATGAGTCTCCGCTGGGAATACGTCGGATCCTGTCCCAGTCCACGGATTCCCTCAACATGCGCAACCGCACACTGTCTGTGGAGTCGCTCATCGACGAAGGTGGGGACACAACAGGAATGGGGGGGACATGGGATTGGACATGGGGTGCAGGGACACTTCTTACACACCTTGTGCCACCCTCCCTGCAGGTCCCGACGTGATCCTGAATCAGCTGATGAGCGACTTCGAGACGGACGGGAAGGACTTTGAGGCGGATTCCTGGAGCCTGGCAGTGGACAACAGCTACCTGCAACAGCACAAGATGGATGTGATGAAGCGCCAGGATGTCATCTATGGTGAGCGGGATACAGAGATGGGTCAGGGATACAGGGATGGGTCAAGGATGCAGGGATGGTAGGAAGAGGTGGGGACACAGAGATGGGAATGAAGCAATGGGGACACAGGGACAAGGGAGGAAGAGATGGGGACACAGGGACAGAGTAAGGGACATATGGATGGGTTAGAGACGCAGGGATGGGGATGAAGAGATGAGGAGACAGGGACAGGGTACAGGAGACATGTGAAGGGGTCTGAGACTCATAGATAGGGACACAGAGACGGAAGGAAGAGATGGGGACACAGGGACAGAGTAAGGGACATATGGATGGGTTAGAGACGCAGGGATGGGGATGAAGAGGTGGAGACACAGGGACAGTTTAGGGGACACAGTGTTGGGAATGAAGCAATGGGGACACATGGGTGTGGACGAAGTGATGGGGGGATAGGGAAGGGAGGAAGAGATGGGGGCACAGGGATGGAGCTGGAGCAATGGGGGACACCTGGTGGCAGTGACTGCCCACTCTCACCCATCCCACCCCATCCCATCCCATCCCATCCCGCGGCAGAGCTGATCCAGACGGAGATCCACCACGTCCGCACGCTGAAGATCATGGGCGCTGTGTTCCGCAAGGCCATGCTGGAGGAGCTGCAGCTCGACCCGGCCTCAGTGCACAGGATCTTCCCATGCGTGGATGAGCTGAGCCAGATCCACGAGCGCTTCCTGGCGCAGCTCCTGGAGCGGCGCCGCGAGTCCCTGGCCCAGGACAGCAACAAGAACTTTGTCATCAACCGCCTTGGGGACATCCTCGTCAACCAGGTAAGGGGCCACTGCAGGCAGTGGGTGCTATGTGGGGGCAGGACCTTGCTGATGTCCCCTTGTGTCCCCAAGTTCTCCGGAGGCAGCGCGGAGCAGCTCAGGAAAGCCTACTCGGAGTTCTGCAGCAAGCACACCAAGGCTGTGAAGGAGTACAAGGACCTGCTGGCCCGAGACAAGCGCTTCCAGCAGTTCATCCGGGTGAGCATCACTATCCCCATCCCTGACCCATCCCTGTGTCGCCATCACTTCATCCCCATCCCTGCATCCCTGACCCATCCCTGTGTTGCCATCACTTCATCCCCATCCCTGCATCTCTGACCCATCCCTGTGTCGCCACACCTTCATCCCC